GGGACTCCAACCCAGAACCCTCTGGTCCTGGTTCCCCCGGGACTCCAACCCAGAACCCTCTGGTCCTGGTTCCCCCGGGACTCCAACCCAGAACCCTCTGGTTCTAAGGCGACGGTGCAAACTACTTTCTGCCTTTTCAGTCAGTATCTTTTCTGTTTTTGGACCTACTTCTCACACTTTGGGAGCATTTTAAACCAAATATGGTTTGAAAAACAACAAAGTTACTCTCCTTATGGGAGCCGCCAGCTTCCACCAGCTAAATCTGCCCGAAATGTCCCAAAATGAGCAAATTCTGTGGGACTGGCGTCACAGATCTGAGCTGGGAGGCTCCTTTAACCCTTTAAAGCCTGATCCAAGAATTAAACAAAACAGAAAATGACTTTTTCTTGGTTTGAAGTCTTTATTTGGCCTTTTAACAAAATATGTAAAAAGAAAAAACAATTATTTTTTTTTATATTGATAATTTATTATTATTGTGTAGTCTTCTGCCCCCTGTTATCAGGTGTATCTGATTGTGTAAAATAGGATTTTGAGCAAAGTTTTTACCATTAAACTAAGCAAACGGCGTCGGACGCAAAACATTTCAGAAACCGTTTGTATCAAATATGATACATTTGGCATTTTAGTGTTAAGCAGCTCCTAAACTCTCACACTGAGGAGGGGGGGCCTCACCTGGCAGCCCAGCAGGAGGCTTTTGCGCATGTTGGCCACGCGGATCATGAGGCAGGGCCGGCCCTCCAGGCTGGACACCACGGCGTGCTGGCTGAACTTCACCGTCTCGCCTCTCTTTTTGGGACGGGCCACCTGCAGGAGCACAGGAACCTTTCTTAGAACCGGCGGCAGTCCTTAACCAACCTCAGTCCCCCCCCCTTTATCACACCGATCCTGATCTGACTCACCTTTTCAATTCAATTTAGATTAAATTTTATCTCTAGAGCCCCACATCCCAACAGCAGGTATCTCTTTTTGGATCTCATTGGGCCTCTTTTTTGGGCCTCCTTTGGCCTCTTTTTTGGGCCTCATTGGGACTTTTTTTGGACCTCTTTAGAACTATTTTCGGGCGTCGTTGGGACTCTTCTTTGGGCCTCATTGGGACTCTTTTTTGGGCCTCATTGGGACTCTTTTTTGGGCCTCATTGGGCCTCTTTTTTGGGCCTCCTTGGGCCTTTTTTTAGGCCTCATTGGGCCTATTTTTTGGGCTTCATTGGGACTCTTTTTTGGGCTCATTGGGCCTCTTTTTTGGGCCTCATTGGGCCTCTTTTTTGGGCCTCATTGGGACTCTTTTTTGGGCCTCATTGGGACTCTTTTTTGGGCCACATTGGGCCTGTTTTTTGGGCCTCTGTGGGCCGGCGTCATGCAGGTTTTAGAGGTTTCTCTGCTTCCACACACCTGGTTCCCACCAACAAAACCCCAGCAGTCCAGTTCAGAGCTGGAGCACCTTTAGAGGAGACCAGATTGACCCGAACCAGGTGAGAAGAACCAGGAAAATCCTCTAAAACCTGCAGGACAGAAGAAGAAGCCCAAAGAGGCCTTAAGAACCCCCCCCCCCCCGATTAAGTCAGATTCAGGAAAACACCTCAAACCTGCCCCCAAAAAAAGAGCTTTACCCCGGTTTGTTCAATTCAATTTAATTCAAATTTTATTTCTATAGCTCCACATCCCAACAGCAGGTATCTCCCATCTTTCCAAACAGAGCAGCTAAGACTCTGAGTTATTTACAGAAGAACAGTTCCCACCAAGAGCAGCACTAGGAGACACAGGGAGGGAAAAACTGCCTTTTAAGAGGCCAAAACCTCGACTAGTTAGGGGTGAGAGAAAAAGAAATGAGCTGCATCCATGAGAAAAAGTTCAGTTCAATTCAGATTTATTTCCATAGAGCCATGTCACTTTCCGGAGCCCGTCTTTTTCGGGCCTCGTTGGGACTCTTCTTTGGGCCTCATTGGGACTCTTTTTTGGGCCTCATTGGGCCTCTTTTTGGGCCTCTTTAGAACTCTTTTTCGGGCCTCATTGGTCCTCTTTTTTGGGCCTCTTTGGGCTTCCGTCCTGCCGGTTTTAGGGGTTTTTATGCTTATACACACCTGGTTCCCACCAACAAAACACCAGCAGTCCATTTCAGATCTGGAGCACCTTTAGAGGAGACCAGATTGACCCGAACCAGGTGTGAAGAAGCAGGAAATCCTCTAAAACCTGCAGGACAGAAGCCCACAGAGGCCTTAAGAACCCCCCAACCCCGATTTAGTCGGATTCAGGGAAACACCTCAAACCTTCGGGGCAGCGGCCCAAAAAAAAGAGCTTTACCCTGATTTGTTCAATTAAATTCAATTAAATTTGATTTCTATAGCCCCACATCCTAACAGCAGGTATCTCTTAGCTTTCCAACCAGAGCAGCTCAGACTCTGAGTTAATCACAAAAGAACAAGAATTCCCACCAGGAACAGCACTAGGCGAAACAGGGAGGGAAAAACTGCCTTTTAAAAGGCAGAAACCTCGACTAGTTAGGGGTGAGAGAAAAAGAAATGAGCTGCATCCATGAGAAAAAGTTCAGTTCAATTCAGATTTATTTCTATAGAGCCATGTCACTTTCCGGAGCCCGTCTTTTTTGGGCCTCATTGGGAATCGTTTTTGGGCCTCATTGGGACTCTTTTTTGGGCCTAATTGGGACTCTTTTTAGGGCCTAATTGGGACTCTTTTTAGGGCCTCATTGGGACTCTTTTTAGGGCCTCATTGGGACTCTTTTTTGGGCCTCATTAGGACTCTATTTTGGGCCTCATTGGGACTCTTTTTTTGGGCCTCCTTGGGCCTCTTTTTTGGGCCTTATTGGGACTCTTTTTTAGGCCTCGTTGGGCCTCTTTCTCAGGCCTCATTGGGACTCTATTTTGGGCCTTATTGGGACTCTTTTTAGGGCCTCATTGGGTCTCCTTTTTGGACCTCTTTGGGACTCTTTTTGGGGCCTAATTGGGACTCTTTTTTTGGCCTCATTGGGACTCTATTTTGGGCCTCATTGGGACCCTTTTTTGGGCCTAATTGGGACTCTTTTTTAGGCCTCATTGGGCCTCTTTTTTGGGCCTAATTGGGACTCTTTTTAGGGCCTAATTGGGACTCTTTTTAGGGCCTCATTAGGACTCTTTTTTGGGCCTCATTAGGACTCTATTTTGGGCCTTATTGGGACTCTTTTTCGGGCCTCATCGGGCCTCTTTTTTGGGCCTAATTGGGACTCTTTTTTAGGCCTCATCGGGCCTCTTTTTCGGGCCTCATTGGGACTCTTTTTTGGGCCTCATTGGGTCATGTTTTGTGTTTTTGTGGGCCGCCTCAGTCTGAATCCAGGAGATAAATCAGGAGGTTTCAGGAGTGGGTAGTTTCTGACGTCATTAGCTCTAGCTCATTATAATATTCCAGCCTTTCACCTGCATGTTGCCCCCCCCCCTCAGCTCACTCCCCTATCTGTGGCAGACGTCGGGGTAGCGTGAGCGTTAGCATGGTAGCGTTAGCGTGGTAGCGTTAGCGTGGTAGCGTTAGCGTGGTAGCGTTAGCGTGGTAGCGTTAGCGTGGTAGCGTTAGCGTGGTAGCGTTAGCATGGTAGCGTTAGCATGGTAGCGTTAGCGTGCCGACGTGGGCACACCTCCCTGAAGAAGTGGGGGGATTGCCTGTGTCTCATTTGCATTTAAAGAGACAGGCACTCCAAAGCGAGCGCTCTGAACGGGGCTGTTTTGGCAGGGGGACTGAACTGCTATTGGGCTTCATCCTTATGGGGTTTTGACCAAAGCTTGTCACAGATATTACATTAGGACACCAGGGAACTAGTTTAACTTGTTGAAATAGAGTATAATATGACTCCTTTAAAATATCAAAGAGTTAAGAAAGGGTTTCTAAATTTGGGAGTGATTTGACTGTAAATGAAGTCTGAAAATCCTCAAACCGGAGTCCCCCCCGTGTCTCCGTACCTTTGCCAGGAAGGTGCCGGTGATGAAGATCTCCATCACCATGGTGATGACGAGCTGGACGATGAGGAGGACGATGGCGGCCGGACACTCCTCCGTGATGCAGCGGAAGCCGTAGCCGATGGTGGTCTGGGACTCCAGCGAGAAGAGGAAGGCCCCCGTCAGGGTCTTCACCTCCATGACGCAGGGCGTGTGGTTGGAGGGGGGGTCGAACTCTGGAGGGGGGGACAGTGTCAGGCTCAGGAACTCAGCGAGGACTCAGTAGCAGAGCTAGTTTCAAATCCAAGTTTATTAACAAAAGGCGCACTCAAAAGGAGTGGACAAAGGCAACACAAAACGCTCCAATAACGGAGGACAAAGTACAAACTGAAAAAGCACTCGAACAAGGCTAAGGAGAAAAGTACAAAACAATACTGATGAAAGTGACAAAGTAAATCTCTCACGAGGAGGCAAGGACTGGAACAAAGTACCAACAAAATACTCACTAGGAATAGACGTCTAGGAGAGAACAGAAAAGCACTCTTAAAAGAGGCAAAAACGCAGAAGGCTCTAAGGCAAGGAACGGGACTAAAAAGGTTACTATGACTTGGGAACTGTGGACGAGACAGGCACTGTGGTAGGAACGAAACACACTGGCACGGGACAAGGGGAGAAGAGGACTATTTGACCACAAGAGGGAAGGGATCCCCAGGTGCAGACAATAGGTAATCAGGGAGACGCTCAGACTGGTGACACAACAGGAAGTGCAAGTGGCCTGAAACGAGATGAGGGTTATTCTTCAAAATAAAACAGGAAATGACGAGACTAGAAAAAGACGAGACGAAAACCCCTCAACCAGGACACCTTCGTGACAGACAGGAGGCGTTTGGCCCACAGAAACCACCACAGAACGTCTTGTTCCCGCTCCCCCGGACCTGCCAGGCCCCTTTTTGTCTGTTTTTCTGGGAAGGAAAGCTTAGCGGCCGTTGATTATCGGCCTTTAAAAGAGCCTTTTCCCACAGAAAGGAAAGGACATTAATGAATAATCAATCTGTGCTTATATAAACCGAAGTCTGCCTCTTTTTCATTTAAATCATCCGAGTTCGGTCTTTGGTTAATAAAAGCTCTCTGTCTCCAACACGTGAAAAGTTTTCTGAGTTTGGTCACAAAGTTAGTTTTAGCTTATTTCTGATTTCTGAGAGGTAAAACTCCCTTTTTATTGCTTTAAATACTAACTTTCCAGTGACTAATCAAAGTATTTCTGATTCTGATTTCCAAACTAGATAACTGCAGGCCAGTTTGGAAATGTCGGTGTGGCAGATTAACATATCTGTTGTATGTTCTGTTAGAATTTGAAAATGTCATTTTTAATATTTTTTGATCCATGGTTTATTCTCAGGTTTCCAACTAAAGAATTGGGTCAAAAAAGACAAAATACATTTAGACCTTAACCCTGTAATGCCAAATGTGTCATATTTGATTGATACGGTTTCTGAAATGTTTTTCCTCTGACACCTTTTGCATAATTTAATGGTAAAAACTTTGCTCAAAATCTTATTGTACACAATCAGATACACCTGATAACAGGGGGCAGAAGACTACACAAAAATAATCTTGACTTATCGCATAGTAATAAATTATTAATGTTAAAATGTTAATGCATTTTTGTTTTTTCTTTTTACATATTTTGTTAAAAGGCCAAATAAGGAATTCAAACAAAAAAAAAGTAATTTTCTGTTTTGTTTTATTCTTGGATCAGGCTTTAAAGGGTATGTTTCTTTCTTTCTTTGCTATATAAACGAGTCTGTTGGTGATTGGACAGTAGAAACAGGCTCTAGGTTATGACCTGTTCTCAGGAACTAGGACCAGGAACTAAAGAATCAGGTCAAACAAGACAAAATACATTTAAGTTTCTTTCTTTCTTTGCTATATAAATTAGTCTGTTGGTGAATGGACAGTAGAAGTAGGCTCTTTTTGCCTTTTTGGAAAATGCCTGGTTATGACCTGTTCTCAGGAACTAGGACCAGGAACTAAAGAATTTGGTTAAACAAGACAAAATACATTTAGTCTCTAAGTTTCTTTTTTTTCTTTGCTATATAAACGAGTCTGTTGGTGAATGGACAGTAGTAATAGGCTCTAGGTTATGACCTGTTCTCCGCTCAGGAACTAGGACCAGGAACTAAAGAATCGGGTCAAACCAGACAAAATACATTTAGTCTTTAAATTTCTTTCTTTCTTTGCTATATAAACGAGTCTGTTGGTGATTGGACAGTAGAAATAGGCTCTAGGTTATGACCTGTTCTCAGGAACTAGGACCAGGAACTAAAGAATCTGGTCAAACCAGACAAAATACATTTAGTCTTTAAATTTCTTTCTTTCTTTGCTATATAAAAGAGTCTTTTGGTGAATGGACAGTAAGCAAAAGCCTGGTTATGTTCGGAACTAGGACCAGGAACTAAAGAATCGGGTTAACAATACCCCCACCCCCCCCCCTCCCCTCTCACCGATCAGGTCCCCGTGCACCAGGGCCACCAGGTACCAGAGCACCCCGAACAGGAACCAGGTCCCGGCGAAGGTGGCGGAGAACAGGAAGAACTTGTACCGCCACTGCATGTCCAGGAAGGTCGTCCAGAGGTCGCGCAGGTAGAGGGCGCCGCGCCCGCTAACGTGCTCGATGCGCACGTTGCTGCGCCCGTCTTTGGACAGGACCCTGCGCCTCCTCCTCAGGGCGCTGACCCCCCCGGGGCCCCCCCCACCCGGCCCTCCGGGGGGCCCCGGGGGGCCCAGCAGGGGCTTGCTGAGGTCGGTCTGGGTGGTCTGGGAGTGGCACACCCTCTGGGGGGAGGAGCCCTCGGAGGACGGGGGCGTGGCCGAGGTCATGGCTGCCCCTGTGGGGGGGGGGGAGGAAAAGGGAGGTGAGAAGAGCAGAGATGTTCAGTAACGAAGTAGAACTACTTAACTCATTGGCTGCCAAAGACGTCTATAGACGTCTTTTATGTTTTTCAGCGAGAGTGGCTGGGGGACGATCTGCTAAAGCTTGTCCGTAAATAACGGCTTCTAGACAGAGTATGTAGTAACAAATTGACCCTCTAGGGGGCAGTGCCACTTTTGATGGGAGATGAGCATAGACTGTAGGCAAATAAGAAAAAGGGAACGGTTCTATGAGAGAACATGTCGCCGGTGAGACGCAAGTCCAGGAAGAACAGAATAAGGTAGAAACACATTTATTTTCCTGATGAAAGAAGAGAGTCTACTCTTTCTTTCGGTGTGTTCGGTGTTTACATAGTCATAGCACAAACTATTCTGTGGCTCTAGAAAAATCAGTCAAAATGCTCAAAAAAACTGGCAGTATGGGACTCTCTGTTCTGAAAATGGCTGCCAGTCAATGAGTTAAGTACTGTACTTAAGTACCAAAATGCAGTATCTGTACTGACCCGTACCTCTACCCCCCCACAACTCCTTCTGTAGTCCCTCTATCTCTACCTCTATCTCACCACTGACTCTGATCAGTGTTTCTCCTCTGTATAGCTTATTATCATAGTGATGATAGATGTAATATCATCTGTAATATGTAATATATATATGTAATATGTGTAAACATTTTTTTTTTTCCCTACTTTTACTTTTACTCCACTACATATTATTGATTAATTCAATACTTTTACTCCGATCGATTTTTCTCGGGCTGAATCGTTACTCGTTACTGAAATGTAAACGGGATGATAGATAGCTCTGTCAGGGTTTGGGAAGCTGGCTCCTCATTGGGCGATAGCCTATTAAAAAAAACCTCCCGAAAGATTGAGAAAAATTGGCCTTCAAAAATTTTCCATCTAAAAAATTCTCCATCTAATCTGAAGAAGCATATCACGGTAAATTAAAAAATACAGTGACATATAAGCTAGTAAGTAAGAGCTAATTCAGTTCTCCCTGTTCACTCAGGACGTAGCAGCTAACGTTAGCTAAAGCTAACCTAGCTGGATAGCTGTATGATAACGTTAGCTAAAGCTAACCTAGCTGGCTAGCTGTATGCTACATGCTAGCATAAAGGCTCAGCTCAGGATTCTGACTCTGGAGTAATAAATAATAGTAGATGAAGTGCTGTTGATTGCTAATGCAGATGTAGTTTTCTGTTTTTGTAAACACCTGTATGACCTTTCACACGTTTGAAATAATATAAACAATATCTATCCAACTTTTGACTGCCTTTTTTAAATATACATAGTACTTGTACTTTTACTTACAGTTGTAATTTCGATACTTGAGAAGCAATTTTTGAAATACTTCTACTTGCAATACTTAAGTACAAAAAAAATGGAGTATGGTGTTGAAAGAATACTTCTGCTTTTACTCGAGTCATTTTTTTCATATAGTACTTGTACTTCTACTCCAGTACTTTCTACATGTCCGGAGAGTAGCTTTTTACATCCTCGTTGTCAGAGGGATTTTTTTTACTTTCATTTATTAGCCTTTATTGACATCCTTGTTATCAGAAGTATTATTATTTTTGCCCTCCGCTCCCTGCTTTTGTTCCCATGAAAGTTTTTTCCTCTTGAGGTGTCTAGCCCGTCCAGACAAAAGCCTCCTGAGACCCGACCGGACCCGGGGCGATCTGATCCGACC